ATTTTGTTCTGAATAAGTAAGCAGCCTAGAGGCCCACATATTTTTGCCCTGAATAAGTATGCAGCCTAGAGACCCACATATTTTTGCTCTGAATAAGTAAGCAGCTTAGAGGCCCACGTGTTTTTGCCCTGAATAAGTATGCAGCCTAGAGGCCCACATATTTTTGCTCTGAATAAGTAAGAAGCCTACAGGCTTACATATTTTAGTCCTGAATAAGTAAGCAGCCTAGAGGTCCACATATTTTTGTCCTGAATAACTAGGCAGCCTAGAAGCCCACGTGTATTTTGTCCTGAATAAGTAAGCAGCCTACAGGCCTACATATTTTTGTCCTGAATAAGTAAGCAGCCTACAGGCCCACATATTTTTGTTCTGAATAAGTAAGCAGCCTAGAGGCCCACATATTTTGCCCTGAATAAGTAAGCAGCCTACAGGCCTACATATTTTTGTCCTGAATAAGTAAGCAGCCTACAGGCCTACATATTTTTGTCCTGAATAAGTAAGCAGCCTAGAAGCCCACAAGTAAAACAACGTTAATTTCCGGGCCCTTTTTTTTCTACAGAGAACAGAAGTTAAACAGAGGGGACAGTTTTGAAACAATCTCTGCTTCAGGGCCTAATGCAGCAGGTCCTCACTATACGCCGAAGTCAGCAACGAACAGACCAATCGACAAAGATCATATCTACATGCTAGACACAGGAGGACAATATCTGTAAGTTTATATCTCTAAGAATTATTTCATGAGTAATAAGGATTTTATTATCGTCCAGAAGTTTTATTAAAAATTCCAGTAATTCTGTCAAGATATCTAAGAATTATTTCATGATTGACAAGGGTTTTATTATCGTCTGAAAGTCTTATTTATAGAACTTCAAGGATTCTACCTCTACCGAAGCAATCGGATAATTACATTTTCTGTATTGATTTTAAAAAGACACTTGTATCCAGTGGTTCAGGTTTACGAGTTTTATTGCTATGAAAAAAGTATCATGTATTAAGAATCAGTATTCGTGTTCTTCATGTAAGATCTTACATTTTCCTATACTTTCTTTACGCTTTTTTTGTTTGTCATATTTAGTCACATTTGACTACCTACTGTGTTCGCCACGACGACTCGAATCCCGGATTTTAGCGTTGTAAGTAGTAGACTTACCGCTGATCCACCGTGGGACATTCTTTACGCACTGTTCCTTAAAGACATGAAATATACAGTTCAAAAGAACTCACCATAGTCTGTAATATTATAACGTTCCGTTAAAATATTTTGTTGTGGTACTACTTTTTGTGCGATAAATATTCTAAATATTGTGCCCTCTAGTGGCCTATAAACTGTAGAAGATTAACGAGACGTTTTTTATAATACAGTCAGTATATTGGTTTACAATAAAAGCTGTTACAGTGTAGAACCAACAATGTTACATGAAGATGAACTAACCATTATTGTAACCATGCTAAACAATGTCCGAGTTCATGTTTCTTTCTACTTTGTTAGAGATGGCACAACGGATATTACAAGAACTGTGCACTTTGGAAATCCGACAGATTTTGAAAAGGTAAACATAGTTTTTCACAAGAAACCAGAAATTATGAAAAACAGTCGTAGTTATTTTGTATGTGTGTTAAGTAGCACTTCTAGGAACATTTGTTACGTCTGCCTTCTTAATATCTTAGCCCTATTTTTATAAGAAATATAAAAATCCCTCAAATTCACAGCCTTTGTTATATAAACTTTCTTAGCTTAACTGATTTATCAGTTTTGAT